CATGTGCACACCTCAATTTCTGCAAGCGGCAGGCTGGTGGGCACTCACACGCATGCACACCGCCCTGCCACTCACACAAGGTCTCCATGCATGTGCCCGCCAGCCACCACTCATGCTTGCTCGCACAGCCCAGTTTCCCCTCTCTCTCTCGCAGCTGCCCCACCAAGCCACAAAGGTTGGGGAGTGCTGGGTTATAGTTTATCAGCAGTGGTGGGTTCCGGATCCCGTTCCAACTGGTATGGTTGGAATGGGCCTGGCGTCACCTATATGGACACGTGCGGTGCACGCATGCGTCATACCTACCTGTGATGCCTCCACAAGCCTCCGCTACGCTCCAGCTTCTCGGCGGAGCATTGCGCATGCACGTGCGCGGAAGCGCCAAAGGCTTAAAGGACAGGTAAAGAGCTTAGGCGGGCGGGTGGACCCTCCAGAGCACTATACTGGAACGGTACCCGGTGCTCCGGCCAGGCTCCGGTATGCCTATACCGGAGCATACGTCCGTACCGGGGCACACCGCCTACAACCCACCACTGTTTACCAGCCAGTATATTGAGCCATAGTTTTTTTAAACAGTTCTTCGCTATGATAAACATTTTGTGCTGCTACTCTTAAATATGAATACGCACTTCTGCTCATAACCCAACTACCAGTAAACAAATTTAATGCTTACACGAACCTACAGAATCAAAGATTCACATTGCAAACATGTTATGTGGCATCAACCAGCATATGTCAGAAATATTTAAAGAAGGCCTTTGAAAACTGAATAAAAGTTTATGTAAAAGTGCAAGAGTAAGTGAATGAGAAATCTTGAAACATGTTCTTAATATAACGTACATAATGCATATGGAATGATTTCCATCCATTCTAAATCACAGTGATTTTTTTAAAATTAAATTCACATTTTCTTAACCCACTTTGATATTTAACACCACATCCTTCAAAAGATACTGAGTTCAAATGCTCTATTTCTACATGTGTAACAACTACATTTTTAATCAAATAATAATAATTCTTCTTTATTGTCAGTCAACCATATATGTCCAATGAGATTGATTGAGCTCCCTCAGTGCACCTGAGTACAAATATTTGTTTGTATTCCACTATTTAAGATTAGAACGCATTCTGGTTTATAGAAACCCTTATGAAATGCTTCAATGTGCTGGGTTGTTGGTTCATTCCATCCCTTCTATTATTTACACAGTTGAATTTGGCTGGCATCAGCCATTGTTTTTAAATTAAAAAAAAAAAACTTTGCACACCACCTAGAAAATTTTAAGTTTTTCGTAAAGTAAAAAAAACAAAACTCTTTGGCACTGAAATAAAATAGGAGAAATAGCCATTGCCATTAATCCAAAATACACCCAAGGTTTAAACCACATTAGTGCAATTTTTCCCATCTTCCCTCCTTCATTAATATGAGGTGAGGCAGCTGCCTCCGCACTTGTCACAGCTAACTATTTGATCTTCTAATTCTTCAATATGACAACCATATTCTCTAATGTATGCCTGCCCCCAGCATAGCACCAAATGTAAAATGTCAGAAATATAATGGAGGGGATGAAAAGTCAAGAAAACTGAATGACAGCATTGTATTAAAAACACATATTGTTGACAATTCATGGCATACTCTTTTACATTTCAAACACAGATTAAGAACACATGGACCCAGGCTTATGATGTTTAATTTCCCACACAGGGGGGCACAAGGGAGGGGGAAAAGAACAGCTCTCCCTTGGAAACACAGCATGAATATGTTATCTAAATCAGCCTCTCTGATTAATGATGCACCCAAGATGGCTACCATCCAGCTGTGCTGCAACTCAATGCTATAGTCACATTGCCCACATTTCATGAATATGTAATTAATTTTAAAAGCCTTACTGTACTAAGCCATGTTTTTCTGCTTAGATTGTACCCAAGAGGTGCAGTGACTCTAACTATAAATTGTTGTACAATTAGCTCCATCTGCCTTCTTTGGTTATTAGAACCACCGACATATTTTTTCCTGTGGCTTAAGATGAAACACCACAGAGTGGTCCACTTTCACAATAGATAGATAGATAGATAGATAGATAGATAGATAGATAGATAGATAGATAGATAGATAGATAGATAGATAGATAGATAGATAGATAGATAATAANTGCGAGATGGCAAATTGCTGGGAGGCCGAGGCAGGTTTTTTTTCCTTCTAATCAGGCTAAACTGAAATAGGCTGCTTGCTGCAAGGAGGTAAGTCAATAACTATAAATACCTATAGAATGTTCAAATTATTATACTTATTTTTTAAAGACTGCTTTATTATTGTTCTAGACAACTTAACAAAATGAAGAAGCTTTTTTAAATAAATGATTGATCCGATTGTATCTTTTAAATATCAGAGAATAACATATACTTCCAGAAAGCCACATCACTTTTAACAGCATCTGTACCAGTATAGTCTGAAATGTAACACCACAAGCAATGTATATTGTCTGTACTTTTTGCTGTTTCCTGTTTGCTGCAAGGAGGCAAATTGCTGGGAGGCAGAGGCAGATTTTTTCCTCCTTGTTTTCCTCCCCAAAAGCTAGATGCATCATACTTTGGAGCATCTTATACTCCAAAAAATACGGTACCCATATCAGGCTGAATAAACAAGACTGCCCACCCTTTTAGGCTGCTGGCTGTGATTCAGCTCTCTTTCCAGGAACACAATAGAGGTGGTTGCTCATGTTGGACAACTTTACTTTGAGGAAAGGAAGGAGCCAGAAACTTCCCAACTAAAGAATCGGCTTATATGCTATATGCAACAAGAGGAGAACAAACTGGATATTGCAGCTGTCAGACCTATTTATTTCTTATTTACTTGGCTGGTGGGAAACCAACAAGAAAAGTTGCAAATGGTGATTATATCATGCAGTTTGCTGCAATAATCACAATCTTGAGCTGCTGGGTACCCAAATGCCCAGATTGTGATCACTTGACTAAGGGGACACTGCAATGGCCAAAACTTTGAGGACAGGTAGTAAGTTCCTTTTTCAGCACCACAATAACCTTGAACAAGAGCTGAAGAATGGACAAAAGTTGATGACTACTTGTGTTCATATTCAAAAATTGCCGGAAATATAATTACCACTTTGGATCCTGTTTGGATACTTGGTGGCAATGTCATAAAGCTCAACAATTCTTGAAGATTGATTCATTTATAATCAAACAAATATCAACATTTCCTTTTGCCATTCCTTAAGCATTAAGGTAAAGGTTCCCCTCGCATATATGTTCTAGTCGTTCCCAACTCTAGGGGATAGTGCTCATCTCCGTTTCAAAGCTGAAGAACCAGCCCTGTCGGAAGATGTCTCTATGGTCATGTGGGTGGCATGACTAAATGCCGAAGGCGCACCGAACGCTGTTACCTTTCCACCAAAGGTGGTTCCTATTTTTCTACTTGCATTTTTACATGCTTTTGAACTGCTGGGTTGGCAGAAGCTGGGACAAGTGATGGGAGCTCCCTCCGTTATGCGGCACTAGGGATTCAAACCGCCGAACTGCCGACCTTTCTGATCGACAAGCTCAGCGTCTTAGCCCCTGAGCCACCATGTCCCCACTTAAGCATTACAAACCTTTATATTTCTGTCAAGTATACACGGTGGCTTTGTATATGTTAGTAGATGCTGGATTCTCATGCTCATATTGAAAATTGCATATAATTCTTTCGTTAGAAGTACTACAGACTTAGATATGGGATAGACATCAATCAATTTTTAAAAATAAATTGTATTGTTAAACAAGACTGACACGGAATTAAATGTAATCTGAAAACCCTTTCTGGACTATAATTCTGCACATGAACTAGCACAATACCTGAAGTTGGGGTCTCTTAAAATGTCAGATTTAGCCTGATCTGTTCCAATAAAGACAGGCTTTCTCTGATGAGATGGAAACTCTTAATTGTTAATTCTGAATGATAATTGGCTTATTTCATTAGCCCAATACTTTAAACACATTTAAAATGTCACATTGGCTCTCTTAAAATTTGTCACATTTACGCTAAACGTTGTCATATCAGTGAAATATCAATTATTCCGCATTTGATAACTATGCCACAGATATACTTAGCAATAAATCAGCCCCAAAATTGGAACAAACACTTGAAGGAATATGGCATGCCAAATAGACTGTTACATATAACCATTAATATATCTCAGCAGACTTTGGTAGGCAGCTCAAACTTTTTTTTTTTTTTTTTTGCATTTTTCAGAGAGTTATGAGAGGAATCTCTAGTAATATGATAAGCCTTGAGATCCAGCATTACTGTGAAGCATGAATAATTGGCTTCCTCTACAGTCATGGTTGTTTAAATGCCATCTAGGCTCAGTGTTGCTTTAGAGCAGAGGACTCCAACCACCAGTCTGTAGCCTGATACTGGGCCTGTTGGCAATCGGGCCGTGGAAAAGGCAGGCAAGCGTGCAAAACTGCATTTGCACAAGCAGAATGTGTGTGAAACCCAGTGGTGGGATTCAAATTTTTTTACTATCAGTTCTGTAGGCATGACTTGGTGGGCATGGCAAAGGAAGGATACTGCAAAATCCCATTTCCTCCTGATCAGCTGGGACTCAGAAGGCAGAGAATAGATGGGGGCGGGGCCAGTCAGAGGTGGTATTTACCGGTTCTCAGAACTACTTAAAATTTCTGCTACTCGTTCTCCAGAACTGGTCAGAACCTGCTGAAACCTACCTCCACTCCACAAAGCTGTAAAGGTTTGGGACCTGTGCTTTAGAGAACACCACTGCCATTTTCTCATTCTGAAATCACCACGAGAAGATTGTCTCCATAATCAAAATCATACTTACTAACAGACAATTGATGAGTGCATTGTGGATCCCTAGACATCAACGATATCCAGAATGATGATCAGAATCTCAAGCAACGTATGATTTAACTACTTGAAGCCAAGAGCTGAGAACAAAGTGTGCAGTGAAAATACATGATTTTGTTATAAAACTAAAACGGTGGCTTACTTGTATAGATAATATTCAGTTTGATCCACATGCTCACGTGAAGAAATGTTATCTATAAACTAAGGGAAAAAATAGTTTAGAGATGACCTTCCAGATACATCATCGACAGTCACTCAGATATGGCTGAACATTGCATGATCAGATATAACTGCAATATAGAAAAAAATCATTTTAAAGTGGCATACAGATAAAATTATCACTATAGCACTTTATCTTGATCTGCAATTATTGCTTTTACCTAAAAGAAGACTAAAAACTAGACTAAATATTATTTTTTGTGTTTAACCTTACTTTTTATGAGGAAATAGTCTTGAAATAAGGAATGCATCCCTTTTAAGTATATATGATAATTATTAATATTAGCCTTATTATTACTATATATACTAACATAATACTAATACGACAGTATTACTAGGAACAAATTCAGGAGCCTCCAGAAATTGGGGATTGCTTTGATTCATACATATTTGTTTTCGTAGATTTTCACGGGTGTAGGTATGCTGGTCTTGTTGTATTCAGGTCTTTTCCTGTGTAAGATTGAGATTGTCTTGGCAACATTTTGACAAGGTCTCACTTGCCATCTTCAGGCTGGTGTTTTCGGCTAAAAGCATGGTTGGAGCTGCCGTCTTNAAAAAAAGCATATGCAGAGATATGCACAGTGTCTGCATATATTAAAATCACAGCCATCTCCCAATACATGTTGCAGGCAGATTGCCAGAACTGTTTACCATACCACGTTGGCTGCCATCTGTAATTTTCAGCTACTGCTGACCTTTCTATAATTTCTCAACTCCATTTACCAGCTGTTCCTACATAGGCAAGCTAGCTAATAACGAAGCAATAATTAAAAGTTTCTGATGCTGAGAAGATATGCAAATGGCAGTGGTCTCTGAGGACTTATGTTGAATAGCTGATTACCCGTCACTGTTGCACATCATAATCTTTTCTAAGAGTTGAAACTCTTGTTTTTATAGAAACCATGAGCCATGATACTTGGGAATGGAAAACCAGGAACTCAAGAAAGAAAAAAAGAGTATGGAAATATATCACAAGGTTTATTGTTTTTTTTTATTAATTTTTTTTTTTAAAAAAAGAACAAGCAAGCAAAAGAAGAAAAGCAAAAAGCAGAAGAGGGGTTGATACAGAAATATAGCATTTGTGGTCAAGGGAATTAACTAGCCTCCTCAGGACTAAGCCTCAGTTTCTAATTTTAAGTGCTTGCAGACTCAGTGCTTGCTATGCATAAAGGCTGTTCTGAAGAAAAGGTCAGTGTAGGGATTGGAAAGAAGGTGAAGGGAAGTGACAGGTACCAGAGGATGACAAAGAGAAAGCCTATGGAGGAAGTGTCTGCCGGAATTACCATATTTTCCGGAGTATAAGATGCACCTATTTCCCACTAAAAGAGGGTGAAAATTTGGGTGCGTCTTATTCACCAAATGTAGCCCTACTCACCCACCAGCCCCCACCCTTTGACGTCTGCCTCCCAGCAATTTACCTCCTTGCAGCAAACAGGAAAATAGGGCTTGCAGAGGCGGCAATAGGCTATGGCAATCCTTGCAGCCTGAAACAGCTGATCATTGGGAGGCCAGTGCTGAAATTGAAAATGAAATTTGCTGTTTGCTGCGAGATGGCAAATTGCTGGGAGGCCGAGGCAGGTTTTTTTTCCTTCTAATCAGGCTAAACTGAAATAGGCTGCTTGCTGCAAGGAGGTAAGTCAATAACTATAAAT